CAGAACATCCGGGAAACGCTTTATTTTTTAATCGGAATCTTTATTTTTTTAGACTGCGGTCGGCGGAGGAATTCGATGAGCTACGAAGCTCTTTTTGTTGTTGCCACAGATGTCCGGTCAGGGGTCACGGGGTCAAGCGATTCGGCAATGGGCGGATCGTGGGCGCACGCCGGATTTGGCGTCATGTTGGCCTGGGTCGCAATGACGTCATGTTGTCCTAGGTAGCATTGACGTCATGTTCTGGGTCGCGATGGCGTCACGTCACTGGGATATCGGAGCCGAGTTGGGGGGGCGGTGACGAGGGGCTGGAGTCGCCTGCGGAGGTGAGAAGGAGGTGAGGATGGTGGTGGTGATGGTGATGGTGGTGACGATGGTGATGATGATGATGGTGAGAATGGTGGCGAGGATGGTGATGATGGTGGTGATGGTGATGATGGCGGTGATGGTGAGGATGGTGATGAGGGTGAGGATGATGAGGATGGTGAGGATGGTGGTGATGGTGACGATGGTGGTGATGATGGTGACGATGGTGGTGATGATGGTGGTGGTGAGGATGGCGGTGAGGATGGCGGTGATGGTGAGGATGGCGGCGATGGTGAGGATGGTGGTGGTGGTGAGGATGGTGGCGATGGTGAGGATGGTGGTGATTGTGATGATGGTGATGGTGACGATCCTGAGGATGATGGTGGTGATGGCGAGGATGGTGACGATGGTGAGGATGATGGTGGCGAGGATGGTGGCGACGGTGGTGGTTCGTTGTTGATTTATTTTGCTATAGCCCTGTGAGCCATTCGTCTCTTGAATCGGGTGCAACCACAACAAACAAGCAAACTAAAACCAAAACAGGAACAAGAAAAGCATCTGAAAGTGACCATCTGACCGTGCTCGGATGGACGACCGCCGTGCATGACGGGCGTTCGCGGCGACATTCCGCGGAGCCACGTGGTGTGATGGCAGAGGCCGTTGGGGCCAAAGCACATTGTTGTACTGCACACGATAGGACTTCTATGGTCCCACGCCTTCACAAACCCACCCCCGGCCGGCGTGGTGAAGCATGTTCAATATAACGCCCCGATCGTCAAGTGGATTCGCATTGACGTTGCTTTGATTTAAAGCTTTCGTGACTGCGGGGATTCGTATTCTTTGGTGCTTTCGGTAAAGTCACCACCACCACCACGTAGAAGGGAAACAATAAAATAATAAAAAAATATATGTTTTATATATTTTATTGTTTCCCTTTCTACGTGACTTTACCGAAAGAACCAATAACGGAAACAATAAAATTATAAAAATATGTTTTATATATTTGTATTATTTTATTGTTTCCCTTTCTACGTGACTTTACCGAAAGAACCAATAACGGAAACAATAAAATAATAAAAATATGTTTTATATATTTGTATTATTTTATTGTTTCCCTTTCTACGTGACTTTACCGAAAGAACCAATAACGGAAACAATAAAATAATTAAAAATATGTTTTATATATTTGTATTATTTTATTGTTTCCCTTTCTACGTGACTTTACCGAAAGAACCAATAACGGAAACAATAAAATAATGAAAAATGTTTTATATATTTGTATTATTTTATTGTTTCCCTTTCTACGTGACTTTACCGAAAGAACCAATAACGGAAACAATAAAATAATAAAAAAATGTTTTATATATTTGTATTATTTTATTGTTTCCCTTCCTACGTGACTTTACCGAAAGAACCAAGAATATTGATGTTGTTACGTGTCCAGAGCGCGCGTGGGCCAGATCTTGTCGACTGGACCGTGTGCGCGCGGAACTGAAAGAGCTTTTGGAGCTCAAAGCATTCCCTCCAGCACAAAATAAAAATTCCGATGCCGTTTGTTTGCTGGTCGATCGGGAGTTTGGGAGCACTTCGGGCCCTCTGCTCAGACACGGCTCTGAAAAACAATGAGCGAAAGCGTGTTAGGCTTTCCATCATCCTCATCATGTGAATTCATGATGAGGATGGTGAGTATGGTGGTGATGGTGAGGATGGTGAGTATGGTGATGGTGAGGATGATGATGGTGAGGATGATGATGGTGAGGATGGGGATGGTGACGATGGTGATGATGGTGAGGATGGTGACGATGGTGATGGTGAGTATGGTGGTGATGGTAGTGATGGTGATGATGGTGACGATGGTGAGGATGGTGATGGTGAGTATGGTGGTGATGGTGAGGATGGTGATGGTGAGGATGGTGATGGTGAGGATGGTGATGGTGAGGATGGTGAGGATGGTGGTGGTGGTGAGGATGATGGTGAGGATGGTGGTAGTGATGGTATTTGTGGTGAGGAAGGTGATGGTGGTGGTGATGATGGTGAGGATGGTAGTAGTGATGGTGTTTGTGGTGAGGATGATGGTGAGGATGGTGATGGTAGTGGTGGTGGTGGTAGTGAGAATGATGGTGATAGGATGGTGAGGATAGTGGTGGTGGTAGTGAGAATGATGGTGGTGTGGTGAGGATGGTGATGATGGTGAGGATGATGATGGTGATGATGGTGAGGATGATGATGATGGTGAGGATGATGGTGAGGATGGTGGTGGTGGTGAGGATGGTGATGGTGGGATGCTGTTGATGGTATTTGTGGTGAGGATGGTGATGGTATTGGTGGTGGTGGTAGTGAGAATGATGGTGATCGTGAGGATGGTGGTGGTGGTGTTGGTGATGGTGGTGAGGATGATGGTGAGGATGGTGAGGATGGTGGTAGTGATGGTATTTGTGGTGAGGATGGTGATGGTATTGTGGTGGTGGTAGTGAGAATCATGGTGATAAGTGAGGATGGTGGTTGTGGTGAGGATGGTGAGGATGATGGTGTTGATGATGATAAACTCTTCCCTTTCAGATGCACGTGGCGACCTCTTTGCCGACATCTTGAAAGGCCCCCCCTATGGAGTTCTCAGTGAAAAGAATCAAACCGGAGTTCCGTCATCTGGCCCTTCTTCCTCCTCACCAGATATCTCAATAACGTCAGGAGACCTCCTTTCATCAATCGACTGGCAAGTCTTTACGGCCCTTGGATCCGACCACCTACCTATTGTGTTGACAGAATAACAACAAAATCCAGAAAAACGCATGTCAAAAATGTTATAAATTGATTTGCATTTTAATGAGGGAAATAAGTATTTGACCCCCTCTCAATCAGAAAATCTTCTGGCTCCCAGGTGTCTTTTGTACAGGTAACGAGCTGAGATTAGGAGCACACTCTTAAAAATAAAATAAATGACGACGTTTCAGGCGCAACACAAGCGTCCGTCGTCAAGTGGGAAAGCGTGGCCTGCTGCTGGGGCAGACTTTTAAAAGGTTTGAAATGGGTGTAGCCCAAGGGTCATAGAGAAGTGGCCGGGGCTAGTGATGTTAATGTGAGAAATTAGAGGGCACGGAAGTGGCTATGTTAATGTGAGAGATTGGCATGATGTTAATGTGAGAGATTAGAGGGCACGGAAGTGGCTATGTTAATGTCAGGGATTAGCAGGTGTTAATGTGAGAGATTAGCATGTAACTGTAGAAAAGGAGAGCGGCCTCCTTGACGTGGGAGTGCAACCCAATGGGTGTAATCCAAAGGGCCTGTGAGCATGAGAGTGCAATCCAAAGGCATGAGAGTGCAATGCAGCGGCCATGTGAGCATGAGAGATCTAAGAGAGATGCATAGAGAGAGAGAAATACAGAGTCGAAATAACAGCTGACATAGGCAAGTTGCATGGACACATCACAGTCAGTGAAGACTTTACCTGGTTAATAACGTCCTTCCAATGATTGCTCAGTTTGTACCCATCCTCTCGGTTGAAGTTGTGTTGTCTGTGTTTATATATCTGGATGGCTTCATGAACAAATCTCTGACGGTAGCCGGTAGGTTTGCAGAGTATCTCCTTCTTGGAAAAATCTATTTCGTGTGAACCCACAGCGTTAAAACAATGATCGGCAACTCCAGCCGCTGGTACCGGTCATCGGCAAGTCCACTCATCGCCACATCCTCCTGTACCACATCACTCCATCTCTTTTCTAGCCAGTGCCGCGCCCATTTAGACGCCTCTAACCGGCCGAACAAAAGCCGTTTAGGCATGCGGTGGCTGGGCATGCGGGCTACATGACCCAACTATACACTATACGCTACGTACGGTGATAAATAAGTTCAACGTACACACGTCGACACGCGCGTGCTTGTACCCCCCCCCCCCCCCCCACTTGCAGGGCGCGATGTCGGACGAGGGGAAGCTGCTGCAGTGCCCGCTGTGCAAGTGGGTGCTCATCAGCCACGCGGCGCTGCAGGACCACATGAAGCAACACGGGCGGCAGATCGGGGTGGAGTACTTCCAGTGCGGGTGGTGCTCCTACAGCACCTACTGCCGGCGCACGCTCAGCATCCACGAGAGGATCCACACGGGCGAGAAGCCCTACAAGTGCGCTACGTGCGGCAAGGCCTTCACCGAGATGGGACCGCTCAATAAGCACAAGCGGACGCACACCTCCGAGAAGCCCAACAAGTGCGCTACGTGCGGCAAGGTTTTCGTGAACTTGGGCACCCTCAGATCGCACGAGAAGTCGCACACCTCCGAGAAGACCTACAAGTGCCCCGTGTGCACCAAGGTGTTCGCCACCCTGCAGAACGTTCAGAGCCACCGGGCGGTGCACAACGGCAAGAAGCCGTTCGAGTGCGACGCGTGCGGCAAGGTGTTCGCCAACCTGCGGTTCCTTGAGTGCCACGAGATGACGCACGCCGACGAGCGGCCGTACGTGTGCACGGTGTGCGACAAGGTGTTCACGCACGCCAAGGACCTGCGCAGCCACCAGAGGGTTCACCTTTGTAAGAAGAAAGGCTACAAGTGCAAGCGATGCGAGAGGTCGTACACCAGGCTGGGCGCCCTCCGTACCCACGAGAAGACGCACACCAACGACGCGCCGCACGTGTGCTCCGAGTGCGGCGAGGTGTTCACTGAGCTGGACAGCCTCCGTCAGCACGAGAGGTCTCACGAGGAGCAGAAGCCACTGCTGTGTTCAGAGTGCGGTGAGGCGTTCACGGAGATGGACAGCCTGCGTCGACACGAGAGGTCTCACACGAGGATGGTGATGATGGTGAGGATGGTGGTGGTGTGGATGGTGGTGGTTAGGATGGTGGTGAGGATGGTGGTGGTGGTGATGATGGTGAGGATGGTGGTGATGGTGAGGATGGTGGTGGTGATGGTATTTGTGGTGAGAATGATGGTGAGGATGATGGTGATGGTGGTGGTGGTGTTGGTGATGAAGGTGAGGATGATGGTGTTGATGATGATGGTGAGGATGATGGTGAGGATGGTGGTGGTGATGGTGGTGGTGGTAGTGAGTGATGGTGAGGATGGTAGTGTGATGAGGATGGTGAGGATGGTGATGATGATGGTGAGGATGATGGTGAGGATGATAGTGAGGATTGTGGTGATGATGGTGAGGATGGTGATGGTGGTGAGGATGGTGATGGTGGTGAGGATGGTGATGGTGGTGAGGATGGTGATGGTGAGAATGGTGATGGTGGTGAGGATGGTGGTGATGGTGGTAGTGATAATGACGGTTATAGTGAGGATGGTGATGATGGTGAGGATGGTGGTGGTGAGGGTGATGGTGAGGATGGTGGTGGTGTCGGTGAGGATGGTGATGGTGAGGAGGATAATGGTTTTGCCGATGATAACTCTTCCCTTTCAGATGCATGTGGTGACCTCTTTGCCGACATCTTGAACGGCTCCCCCTATGGGGTACTCAATGAAAAGAATCAAACCGGAGTTCCGTCATCTGGCCCTTCTTCATCCTCACCAGATATCTCAATAGCGTCAGGAAACCTTTCATCAATCGACTGCCGAGTCTTTACGGCCCTTGGATCCGACCACCTACCTATCGTGTTGACCCTCGATGCCACCAAGCCTTCACAAACTCCTAAAAACCGCTCGTTTTACAACTTTCAAAAAGCCAACTGGCCACTTTTTACTTCAGAATCAGAAGCATTATTCGCCAACAACATCAACCATATCCACACATCCGGAAAGATTTTCAGAAACATCGCAACTCCCACCAAGCGCCCCATCCCGGCGGGTTGCTGCAAGCAACACCTTCCCTGCCTCTCTAAAGAAGCCTCAACGCTAATAAACCAACGAAACACTATTAGGACTAAAAATCCTACATCACCACCACTCCCAGCCTTCAATATTGAAATCACAAAGCTAATCAATGGAGCCAAAACAACGCTGGCACGAGTTTGTTGAATCTTTTGACCACCGCCCAAACTCAACAAAACTTTGGAAGACCATCAAACCCTGAGATGGACACTCCAAATCGCCACCCAATTGTGCAATCACTTTCAACAACAAATCCATCATAAACAACAGTAACATCGCCAACCACTTCAACAAACGTTTCTCATCAGTCGTCCCACACTCTTCTAATAAATCCAGCCGTCATAAAATCTGTCAAACCAAGGAACTTCAATCTTGATTTGAAGCTTTCGTGACTGCAGGAATCCATACTCTTTGGTTCTTTCGGTGAAGTCACGTACAGTGAGGGAAAAAAGTATTTGATCCCCTGCTGATTTTGTACGTTTGCCCACTGACAAAGAAATGATCAGTCTATAATTTTAATGGTAGGTTTATTTGAACAGTGAGAGACAGAATAACAACAACAAAATCCAGAAAAACGCATGTCAAAAATGTTATAAATTGAGTTGCATTTTAATGAGGGAAATAAGTATTTGACCCCCTCTCAATCAGAAAGATTTCTGGCTCTCAGGTGTCTTTTATACAGGTAACGAGCTGAGATTAGGAGCACACTCTTAAAGGGAGTACTCCTAATCTCAGCTTGTTACCTGTATAAAAGACACCTGTCCACAGAAGCAATCAATCAATCAGATTCCAAACTCTCCACCATGGCCAAGACCAAAGAGCTCCCCAAGAATGTCAGGGACAAGATTGTAGAGCTACACTAGGCTGGAATGGGCTACAAGACCATTGCCAAGCAGCTTGGTGAGAAGGTGACAACAGTTGGTGCGATTATTCGCAAATGGGAAAAACACAAAAGAACTGCCAATCTCCCTCGGCCTGGGGCTCCATGCAAGATCTCACCAGAGCTACACGGGAGTATCTTGTCAATGATCTCAAGGCAGCTGGGACCATAGTCACCAAGAAAACAATTGGTAACACACTACGCCGTGAAGGACTAAAATCCTGCATACTGTAGGTATAAAATAAAATAAATCACGACGTTTCGGGCACAACACAAGCGTCCGTCGTCAGGTGGGAAAGCGTGGCCTGCTGCTGGGACAGGCTGTTTTAAAAGGTTTGAAATGGGTGCAGCTCAAGTGTCATAGAGAAGTGTCCGGGAGCTGTTGATGTTAATGTGAGAAATTAGAGGGCACGGAAGTGGCTATGTTAATGTGAGAGATTAGCATGTAACTGTAGAAAAGGAGAGCTGCCTCCTCGACGAGGGAGTGCAACTCAACGGGTGTAATCCAAAGGGCCTGTGAGTATGAGAGTGTAATCCGAAAGACATGTGGGCATGAGAGTGCAATCCAAAGGCATGAGAGTGCAATGCAACGGACATTTGAGCATGAGAGATCTAAGAGAGAGGCATAGAGATACAGAGAGTCGAAATAACAGCTGCCATAGGCAAGTTGCATGGACACATCACAGTCAGTGAAGACTTTACCTGATTAATAACGTCCTTCCAATGATTGCTCAGTTTGTACCCATCCTCTCGGTTGAAGTTGTGTTGTCTGTGTTTATATATCTGGATGGCTTCATGAACAAATGTCTGACGGTAGCCGGTAGGTTTAAAGAGTACCTCCATCTTGGAAAAATTAATTTCGTGTGAGCCCACAGCGTAAAAACAATGATCGGCAACGGCACCGCTGGTACCGGTCATCGGCAAGTCCACTCAGCTCCACATCCTCCTGTACCACATCACTCCATCTCTTCGCTAGCCAGTGCCGCGCCCATTTAGACGCCTCTAACCGGCCGAACAAAAGCTGTTTAGGCATGCGGTGGCTGGGCATGCGGGCTACATGACCCAACTATACACTATACGCTACGTACGGTGATAAATAAGTTCAACGTACACACGTCGACACGTGCGTGCTTGTACCCCCCCCGCCACCCCCCCAGTTGCAGGGCACGATGTCGGACGAGGGAAAGCTGCTGCAGTGCCCGCTGTGCAAGTGGGTGCTCATCAGCCACGCGGCGCTGCAGGACCACATGAAGCAACACGGGCGGCAGATCGGGGTGGAGTACTTCCAGTGCGGGTGGTGCTCCTACAGCACCTACTGCCGGCGCACGCTCAGCATCCACGAGAGGATCCACACGGGCGAGAAGCCCTACAAGTGCGCTACGTGCGGCAAGGCCTTCACCGAGATGGGACCGCTCAATAAGCACAAGCGGACGCACACCTCCGAGAAGCCCAACAAGTGCGCTACGTGCGGCAAGGTTTTCGTGAACTTGGGCACCCTCAGATCGCACGAGAAGTCGCACACCTCCGAGAAGACCTACAAGTGCCCCGTGTGCACCAAGGTGTTCGCCACCCTGCAGAACGTTCAGAGCCACCGGGCGGTGCACAACGGCAAGAAGCCGTTCGAGTGCGACGCGTGCGGCAAGGTGTTCGCCAACCTGCGGTTCCTTGAGTGCCACGAGATGACGCACGCCGACGAGCGGCCGTACGTGTGCACGGTGTGTGACAAGGTGTTCACGCACTCCAAGGACCTGTGCAGCCACCAGAGGGTTCACCTTTGTAAGAGGAAGGGCTACAAGTGCAAGCGATGCGAGAGGTCGTACACCAGGCTGGGCGCCCTCCGTACCCACGAGAAGACGCACACCAATGACGCGCCGCACGTGTGTTCAGAGTGCGGTGAGGTGTTCACTGAGCTGGACAGCCTGCGTCAGCACGAGAGGTCTCACGAGGAGCAGAAGCCACTGCTGTGTTCAGAGTGCGGCGAGGCGTTCACGGAGCTGGACAGCCTGCGTCGGCACGAGAGGTCTCACAAGGAGCAGAAGGCAACGTCATCAAACATTAGGCAGGAGCAGGAGGACAGTGACACGGGTACAAACCCGCGTGGTCTGGAAATTTGCTAGATGCTCCTCACGCTTGGTGTGAGATGAGGAGTGGGGATTATGGTCAAATGATACATCTCTGGAATCACCAGAGGACACTCGTGGCGAAATTAACTTCTTAGATTTTCTCCAAACATGTATCTGCCGTAACTCACAGACGCGACGTGTGTGCGTGTGTATGTGTGCATGTGTGTGCATGTGTGTGCGTGTGTGTGCGTGAGATAGAAAACACATTCGGATTCAGAATCTTTATTTATCCTGGAGAAATCCGATGAGTTATGACGCTCTTTTTCACAGATGTCCAATAGGGGCAGGTCAGAAAGTTGCAACAACAAACACGATAGGAGTGCAATGTATTGGAAAGGTAAGCAAGTCACTAAAATAAATTAAATAGATAAAGTATCAGAATCAGAATCAGTTCTAATTGCATAAGTACACCAATTTCCCAAGCTTGGGCAAGGCAGCAGAACAGCATCAAAAACAGTCCCAGACCACACCAAAACAACACACAGTCCCTCAATAAAATGGCGCATTAAAAGTGAACTATTGATGTATGTATGTTGGACTTCTTTCGCACCGTGCACAGCCCACCCTGATAATCGGACGTACGGGTAAAGGTGAAAGTTACAAGTCACATTTGCAAATGCAGTTTTATGCAGCGCTAATCCCCGTCTTGAGGATATGTTTTGAAAGAAGATTTGATGCTCCACTCGTCAAACACTGGAGGATCCTCTGTGGCAAGAAGTCAGAATCTTTATTTATCCTGGAGAAATCCGATAACCTATGAAACTTTTTTGCACGGATGGAAAGCCGCCCTCTCTGTCTTCAAGACATGGCCAGAGCGCCGCACTCCAGCAAGAACCACGTCTGGCAGCTCCCCGGGGGGGGGGGGGGGGGGGAGACACACGGCCCCGTCGACTTACACCTGAGATTGTGTCCTCTTGAAACCATGCCCGGTGGTTCATCGACAGCCCTTCACGGTGAATCCATCTCATCATCATCATTAGACTTCCTTTGCCAGTACCAAAATGTAATCATAGGGTTTTTCCCCTTTTTTTCTGGCAACAAAACTGAAATCTTTTTTACGAGGCTTCATGTCCGCATTAACCACAATACCTGCAGTCAAAATGCAAACAAAAAAACATACTATGATAATATATGCATTGTCCTTGAAACTGATTGGTCCACACCAAGGGACGGCTTTCTTTTGAGCCTCAACCCATATGGTGCTCGACCAGATGACGCCAAAAGGCGTGAATCCATGTTCAGATGTTCACCGGGGGGGGGGGGGGGGGGGGGGGTGAGCGGTAAGCCTGGGCCTCTTGAGAGTTGATGAGATATTAACTCCCTCGCCTATTATGCAGGAGATCGTGGGTCTGATCCCGACCCCGACGCCTGTTGTATATTTGGAGTTTGCATGCCTCCCTCTCTCTCCCCATGGTTGCGTGGATTTTTCTCCGGGTCCTCTGGGTTTTCCCTCCACATTTAGAACACTATTTAACACAATGTTTTTTATTGAGTAGTAAATGTTATTTCGTAATTGCTTATGCCTAAAAGTTTAAAATGTCTGTTTTTCCCCACAAACTTTGCTTTTGTGACCAGGACAGTGATCTTCTGAAAATTACTTATTTTCAATGATAAAACGGGCGAATTTGTGTCTTTTCGTTCACATAAAGTCAGAAAAAACAACAACATATGAATCCACATTAACATGTATTTATACTAAAGTAATACAAACATGACTACAAATGATTTACAAGTGAGTAGTATTTAGAGATTTACGATTATACTGTAAATCACTTTCACGAATCAGCCCCCAAATGTAGTCTCCCATCATGTTCTCGTTATACTGTCCTTAGTAGCGGCATTCAAAGTCCAGTATATCCTGGTGGAAGCACTCGCCTTGCTCCTCCGAGCACACGCCCATGTTCTTGAATTTTTCAATATGAGCATCCTACAGCCCATTGTGCCGTAGTTCTTCACCAGAATCTCAACCAGCTCAACGTAGTTTTCGACGATGTGATTGCCCAGGAAGCCACGAACCACTGCGACAAAGCTGTTCCAAGCCGCTTTCTCCTTACTAGTGAGCTTCTTGGGGAATTCCTTGTACTCAAGGATCTTCTTTATCTGTGGTCCGACGAAGACACCGGCTTTGACCTTTGCCTCGGACAGCTTAGGGAAAAAGTCTTGAAGGTACTTGAAGGCTACCGACTCCTTATCTACAGCTCTGACAAATTGTTTCATAAGGCCCAATTTGATGTGCAGTGGTGGCATCGGAACCTTCCGGGGGTCCACCAGTGGTTCCCACTTGACGTTGTTCCTCTCTATCAGAGAACTCAGTTCGCTGTGGCCAGTCCCGCCTGTGGTTCTTGCGCATTGGTGTCTCAATCTTTTGTAGTCATTTTTGTATTACTTTAGTATAAATACATGTTCATTTTGATTCATGTTGGTTTTTTCTGACTTTATGTGAACGAAAAGACACAAATTCACCCGTTTTCTCATTGATATTAGGTAGATTTCCAAATATCACTGTCTTGGTCACAAAAGCAAAGTTTGTGGGCAATAATAGCCACTTTCTGTACTTTCGAGTCACAGGTAATTAGGAAATAACACTACCCAGGAACAAAAAAAAATGTTACACAGTGGAATCAACATCGCCACGCATTTAGAGGATTTGGCTGCCGCTATCAATTTCCATGCGATAAGCCACTTCGTTAAGCTATCATTTGTGGCCAGGTCTCTTAGTGGGCCTTACCTAGAACCAGGTATGAATACTCATACTCTTTGGGTCTTTCGGTAAAGTCACATAGATCGGTATCAATGTTGAACAATCCAACCATGCTAATCAGAGGTGGCAGAATGGAAACTTCAGGGTTATCACAGCAGTCTTTTGATAACTGAAGGAAGGCGTCGGGGTCTGGCCGACTGCATCTGACTGCATCTCGTATCTCCAAGAAGCACAGTTGACTTCTTAGGGCACGAAAGAAGTTCAACATTCGAGCAGTGCTCAACTTACGAATACAATTACGGTAGTTCGTGAGGCCCGTTCATAAGTGGAACAGTTCATAGGTCAGAACACAATCATGTACTGTCTTTTAAATGTCCATACGAAATGCGTTATGGTTAAACAAAAAATGGAAGCATTGTTATAACTCACAAGAAGAAATATTGTACATTTGCATGAAACACTGTAAACAAAATACTGCATAGTAAATAAAACATAAAATAAAGTAGCAAATAGAAACATCCGTTTTATTTTCACCTACCTTGAGTCCTGATGCTGGCTTATTACAGACAAATTCAGACCTTGTTGGTCACCCCCATCGGTGGCAAGATGAGGTTTAAAACAATTAGGTTTGATAAGGTTTAAATTTTTTAAAAACCTCAATATCACGAAGGGCCAGTTATGGTGAGGTTTTGAGGTTCATTCTAAAAAGACGCCATTTTGGTTTTTGCAGGAATTCTGACTGAAGTAACAGACTGCGGAAGGCCGGAGCCCGGAAATCATAAATCTCGCCATTACCTGAGTTACCAGCGTCATCAAGCGAACCCAAATTCCACCACGAGCAGGATCATGGATCAGGACCTGGATGAGGATTTACTCGATTCCGAAGAATGTGATAGTGATGTCGTAATTGTGATGGAGAAGAATGGAGTGGCCGACGCGGAGAAGGATGGAGTGGCCGACGAGGCGTTGGCAAACACAGGGAAGGCCAGAGGACACCCGATGGGCCAGTTTTGGCACTACACCGATGATCCGGAACCTTACAAGTTGAAGAGTGCCATCTGCAAACATTGTTGCATCACATTCAATCATCACAAGAAGAGTTAGCGGGGCGATGAGGCACCTGAATGCATGCGCCGCTTTTCGGAGGGCAAGGAATGGCACCGAGATAGGTTATCGTCCCGAGTGGTCTGCGTCGAACAAGAAGCGGGCGAAGCCATCGAAGGCAAGCGACAGCTCAACTCCATCTACATCGAACGCTTCGTCGATGAAGTGAGGATCGATCAAAGATCGGCTAATACCCAAGCTCGATAAGCGAACGAAGGGGAAGTTGGAGCAGGCCATAGCAATGCATTACTTTGTCTCGGGCACGTCGTTCAAGCGGGTCGAGGAAGAGAACCTGGTGATGGCTGTGAAGGCCCTTCGCCCAGATGCAGTGCTGCCGAACAGGAAGTTGCTGGCCGGATCATCGCTCAGCAGGGCGTACATCGACATGAAGAAGGTTGACACCGTCCTGGACAATAGGACCGTTTGCCTGACATCTGATGCGTGGTCAAACATCAAGAATGGTCCAATTGTGGACTACATGGTCACATCGCCGCCCACAATGTTGCTTCTTGAGTCAGTGTCCACTGGGGAGCAGGGCCACAACACTGACTGGATCGCCTCGGATCTTGAACGTGTGATGGCGTCCCATCCGAAGACTACATTCGCTGGCGCGGTCAGCGACAACACATCCACCAACAGGAATGCGTGGGAACAGCTCTCGAAGGCTGTACGCCGCATGGTCTGCGTTTGCTGGTCAAGGACATATTCTCTGTCACGAAGACGAGGAAAGCCGGCCAATCAGAACACACATACTCGATCGACTATCCATTCCTGTACCTGCTTGAGTTCAGCGTGGGGTGCAAGGACACGGTCAAATTGTTTCACAATACTCACGTTCTCAAGGCAGCTGCAGTGCTGAACAGAAGATCGCTGGCGTTCGAGCGTTGGTCCGTCCGGCTCCTACACGTTGAGGAACGATCAAAGGCTGTTGCGAGATGCTGTTGTCGTTGGAGAGGGTTCTGCATTCCATTGTCACAGCTCGCGACTTCATCAAGGGGACGGCAGCTCAGAATGCGAATCAAGACCATCATTACGAGCGACAACTTCGTCTCTCTGTTGCAGAAGTCCCTTGCCATTCTCACGCCCATCGATGCATCGATTGTCAAATATC